AGTCAGGAGAAGCCTCCAGCCTGACCCCCACCCACAGACTTGGGACTTGCCAGCCCCTACAACCGTGTGAGCTCTAAATAAATCTCGATGTAATGTGATTTATATATATAAATCTCGATTTAATTCATATATGCTTCATCGGTTTTGCTTCTCTAGAGAACGCAGCCTAAGACAGTGATCAAGACTCCTAGGCTGGTATCTTTGGAGATGGAGAGAGCGGGTTGGATTTGAGGCCTAATAGGAGGAATGGGGGCACTAAAATCATGAGAGGCGCTGGGTGTGGTAGGAAGTTAGTGCAGACAAGATCTCTGTAGTGTGTGTGTGTGTGTGGGGGGGTGTCTTTGTGTATATTGTGTGCTGGGCATGGGTGTATGTGTTGGGTATGTATGTGTATTGTGTTGGTGTGTCTCTGTATGTATATTGAGTGTGTCAGATGTGTGTATGGTGTCTGTGTGTTGGGTGCATCGGTTTTGAGTGTTTGGCATGTTTGTTGGGGTTTGTGTGTTGAGCATATGTGTTTTGTGTTGGTGTGTGTGTTGGGTATGTGTGTGTGGTATCTCTGTGTGTATTGCGTGTTGGGCACATTGGTTTTGGGTGTTTAGCATGTTTGATGGGGTTTGTGTGTTTGGTATGTGTGTTTTGCATTGGTGTGTATATTAGGTGTGTGTGTGTTGTGTGTGTCGGGTATGTGTGTAGGTGTCTGTGTGAATTGTGTATTGGGCACATCGGTTTTGAGTGGCATGTGTTTGTTGGGGGTTGTGTATTGGTTGTATGTGTTTTGTGTTGGTGTGTATATTAGGGGTGTGAGTGCTGTGTGTATTGTATTGGGGATGTGTCATGTGTGTTGGGTGTTTATTAACTGTGTCAGATGTCTGTGTATATGCCCTGCGCGTATTGTGTGTTTGTGTGTGTGTTTTCTAATAATGTGCCAGACACTATATTAAGCATTTCACATACTTTTTATCTCTAGTGATCATGAAAACGGCCTTATGGGGTAGGCACTCTTATTATTCCCAGCTTATCGAGGAGGAAACTGAGACACTAGAGCTTCAACAACTGTCTCAAGGCCATGTAGCTCACAAGGAGCCCAGTGAAACTTGAGTCCTGTTAGGTGCAAACCCTAGCCTCTAAACCCTCCCAAATGAGAGAGTGCATCAGAATTCTCTGGACGGCTTGTGCAAACTGATTCCTGGGCCCCGCCCACGGTGTTTCTGGTTTACTAGGTCTGGGCGGGACTGAAAGATTTGCAAAAAGTGATGCTGATGTTGCTGGTTTGGGCACTTGACGACCCGCCGCTCCAAATAAATTGTCTTGAGTCCGCAGAGGTGGGAGGAGGATCTGATAGTTGGCTTCTGTAAAGATGACGGTCTTGGAAACCCTATGGGGCAATTCTGCTCTGTCCTGTAGGGTCACTATGAGTCGGAATCAACTTGATGGCAATGACTTTGGTTAGGGTTTGGAGTACTCAGAGAAAAAGAGCAAGGAGGGGGCTAGGACCAAAGCAAATGGCTTTGAAGTCCTAGATGCAAACTGGACCTGGTGGTGCAGTGGTTAAGAGGTTGGCTGCTAACCAAAAGACTGACAGTTCGAATCCACCAGCCACACCTTGGAAACCCTATTGGGCAATTCTACTGTATCCTATAGGGTTGCTGTGAGTTGGATTCGATTCGACAGCAACGGGTTTGGTGTTTTTGGTTATGGTTACCAGCAAAAGCAATGTGGAGTTTTTAAGCTGGGATTTTCAATGTGAGCTCATCTTTGTCCTTGAATAATTGGGTGCTTGGTTATAATGAAAGGAGCCCTGCGGTGCAGTGGTTAGAGTGATCGACTGCTAACCCAAAGGTCGGTGGTTTGAACCCCCCAGCTGCTCTGTGGGAGAAAGATGTGGCAGTCTGCTTCTGTAAAGATGACAGCCTTGAAACCCTCTGGGGCAGTTGTACTCTGTTCTGTAGGGTCACCATGAGTTGGAGCCGACTTGCAGCAGTGGGTTTGGGTTATAACGAATCATGTGCTGTTAAAAAGACAAAGGCAGCTTCCTACTAAGAAGCTGTGTGTGTATCTGCAGATCTCAGAGCCTGCCCCACTAGCGCTGAATGATAGGGGAAAAACAATTTCTGCATGGTATTCTCCGTGCATTGGATCAAATACACTTTCCTCTATTAATTCCCCAGGAAGCCACTGCGGGCTGCCTCGCTGCCTTAAGGGCTGAGGTGGGAAACCAGGGTCTCCTGTAGGGCATGGGTGTCCTCTGTGAATCAGGGTCTGTACTACCTACCTGGGAGGGTTTTCAAGGATTGCATGAAATAGCGCTTGGAAATCCCCTGGCTGTGTTTGGCACGTGGTAGGCTTGCAGTGTTAGGGTGTTTCTTTTGCTCGTCCTTGGCCCCCCCACCTCCCATTAGATCAGATCAGGCGTGAGTCTGGATGTTAGGGTGTGTTTCTTTTGCTCATCCTTGGCCCCCCACCTCCCATTAGATCAGATCAGGGGTGAGTCTGGGTGTTAGGGTGTGTTTCTTTTGCTCGTCCTTGGCCCCCCACCTCCCATTAGATCAGATCAGGGGTGAGTCTGGATGTTAGGGTGTGTTTCTTTTGCTCGTCCTTGGCCCCCCACCTCCCATTAGATCAGATCGGGGTGAGTCGGGAAATGATGGAAGGCTGAGTGCCGCCAGCGAGGACTTTGCCCAGGTTGCTGGCTCTGCGGTTTTTTGCGGACTGAGCCAGAGCGAGGTAATGAGGAAGCGGGGAACATGCAGCTGTTGCTGTTTGATGCAACCCCATTCATGAGACACAGAGCTGCTTCTCTTTGCTGGCCCCTCTGTCCTGCTCTTACTGAAAATGCCTTGGAATTGAAATTGAGTGGCGGAGTCTGACCTTGGCTGGCTCCGGAGTGTTAGGCAGGCCAGGACACACATCGATGGCTCTCCCATTAGGGAAATGGGTCTCAGCACTTTCTGTGAGCCTGGCCTCTCCAGGCCCGTCAGCTTGAAACTCCATCCTGTGGAGTTTACAGAGCTTGGGTGTTAGGATCTGCTGCAGTTTAATTTGGTACGTGGTGCTTTGCATCTTGAGGAGTGTTTCCCCAGATGACACCCTGGCCGGAGCTGGGACACAAAGGTGAAGCCTAGTTAATCCCTTGTGTTCTTGTCCTTGGGAGCTAACCTAGTGTGACCCCGTTAACTGCGTTGGGGTTTGGCTCTGAACCACAACAATGTTGGTTGGTCCCTGAGTGTCCTGGGGGCAGAAGGAAGAGGGGCTTTGAAACAGGACCTAGGTGCCAATCACCACTGACCTGCAGGGGGAGACCAAGTCTTCTCTTGCTTCCCCGCACGCCCCTACCCCCACCCCGCCGCCATTCCTTTATCTCTGCCTGCCCCTGCCCCAGCTGCTACCTATTGAGAAGCTACTGAGTGCCAAATACATTGGAAGTCATTATCTCCTGTCCTGTCAAGAATCCTGCTGGGACGCTTGTCTCACCCCCACTGCACATAGTGGTAAACTGAGGCTTGGGGAAGTGAGCAGACTTACCAAAGGACACACCCCCTGAACATTCTAGAGTTAGAAAGTGGTGTCTCCATATCAGAGCCTCTCTGATCCTCTCTCCCTATCTGCAAAATGGGGCAAGAGTCTTTATCACAAAGTTGTTGTTGGCTAAAATCAGGCAACTGATCTAAAATACTTTATGGGGCACTAAGCACATAGTGGCGCAGTGGTTAAGAGCTCAGGTTGCTAACCAGAAGGTCAGCGGTTCGAATCCACTAGCCACTCCTTGGAAACCCAATGGAAGAGTTCTTCTCTGTCCTGTAGGGTAGCTACGAGTTGGAATCAACGCAACAACGGCTTTGGTGTGGTTTTTTTTTAAAGCACATAGTAGGTGCTCAATAAAAGTCGGTTTCTTTCTCTTCCTCCAAATCCCTGACGTCTGGATTTTTTCATCACCTAGGGAAATTTGGCCTGCCGGGAGTCTCTCTCCTGCTTGGTTTCTCATCCCAGACTTGGGCTATTATTTTCGCCTTGTTCTCTCCCATCATCCCCACCCAGCCTTCTTGCTCTTGGCCCTAGGATCTCTTGGCTTGGAAAATTAGCAACGTGTCAGGTTGGGTTGGAGTCCCTGGGTGGCGCAAATGGTTAAGCGCTAGGCTACTAACTAAAAGGTAGCAGTTCAAACCCACCCAGAGGTGCCTCAGAAGACAGGCCTGGTGATCTGCTTCTGAACACCCTGGGGAGCACAGTTCTACTGTGACACGCATGGGGTCACCATGAGTCAGAATCGATGGAACTGCAACTAACAACAAGAAGTTGGGTTCCACGTCTGCCTCGCCACAGCACCCACTCTGCTTCCCATGCTGGGTAGAAAACGTTTCTGCCCCTGCCTCTGCAGCCAGCTTAGCTCTTTGGAGACTTCGTACATAGTAAAATCATTCGTTATTTATATTAACCATTATTAATGGCATCTACTGTTTACTGAGTATTCACTGTGTCAAGTAATGTACAAAGTATTGTTTGTGGTCCGTCTCATTTTCTCTTACCATCATCTACCTGAGCTGTATGCTATGATTAGTCCTGATGTCACAGATAAGAAAACTGAGGGTAAAGGAAATTAAATGGTTTGCTGAAGGTCACACAGCTGGAAAGTGACAGAGCAGGGATTCTCACCCCTTTCGCCATGAAGCATGTGCTCTTAGCTGGGATGCTGACAGGTAGGGAAGGGCAGTAGACCAGCCTGGCTTCAGAGTCAGGATGTCTGGGTCTCAGTCCAGCTGTTCTAAATGTCCGCTGTGTGACATGAAGCAAGTCACTTAACCTCTCTGTGTTTGTTCCTATAAAAGGAACCCAGGAGTGGTGCTGTCCAGCAGACACATGGTGTTCCCGTTGGTCAGAAATGCGTGTCCATATAAAGACCATGTGGCTTCTGTGTAGAAGCCCGGGCTCTCTGTCTCTGGCTGATGAGAACCCCAACTATTAATGTCTCTCTGTTTTTCAGGTAATGACCCAAAAAGATCATGTCGGAAGTACAAGGAACAGTTGAGTTTTCTGTGGAGCTACATAAATTTTATAATGTGGATCTTTTTCAGAGAGGGTGAGTATGCCTTTATATATATGTATGTATATATATGTCTGTTGTTGTTGTTAGGTGCCATTGA